TTGGTCAGCACCTTGATATCAGTGGACCCGACTGCCCACAAATCAAATCATCCTCAACTCTTATTGCTCTTACTGTAGACGAACAGCGGATCATGAAACTTGTTACTCTCGTAACTAACTTTGTTACCTCTTTATAAAGACGTTCGTTCGCTGTCTCGGGGAAGGGCCACCCGACTCGACAATCCGGATCCGTTATGTTGTTGATGTAGAAAACCAGGCATGTTGCTCTCACTCGACGACCCTAAAATGCAAAATGAATGCCCTACTAAATTGAACAGTCGCCGCATTTTTTTTTCTAGCTATTCTTGCTTTGCGTGCGCTGACTTGAAAACTGCATATAGCTATCCAACACGCTACCCGGTGTTCCATATAGGGTGTTATCTCTGGAGGCCGCCACCTAATTTCCCGACAGAATTTTTAGTTAGATGTGGGACCAATCGAAGCTTATATCACATCACACCACGGTTCGTGAAATCTTGAAATTTTGTGCACGAGCCTGTTGCGAAATCAAGAAACGCAGACAGGCAGAAGACAGTGCATGCCAAGGAACTATGGTGAGCCAGGAAACGCGCTCTTTCAATGGGACGGGACACGGGGGTGGATGACCTATCTGGAATACGTGAAGAGCTGCAATGTGCAGAAGTCATACTGACCATGGAGTGCCCCGCAGGCGCGAGAGTGAGACAAGATTCAGGTTGTTAGAGGGTGTACAGAACTGCCGAAATTTGCGCGTGGGAGTAACTGTGTAACCGTGGATGCACACGACTGGGCACGGTTCTGTGTGGACCACTCGGATTACGCGTGGGGTACCGCGAACGCGCCGCGGGGGTGTGTGCCTGGGTCGGGCGGGTCGTTGCCCGGGTGGCAGCCGCACCCCGGAGCCTCTCCCCCCCTTCCAGCGCGCGGATATCCTCTTGGGATGGCGTCAAAGATGAAACGTACATCAGCCGGTTATGCAAATGCCGTATAACAGGAAATGCCGTATAAGAGGCGCAATTTTGAGGGGTACTGTACACCGCCTAACAACCTGAACTTATAATCTTGTGTGTGTATGCGTGAGAGAGAGAGAGCAGAGAAAGACACAAATTCGACCCGTTCAAAGGAATTGAGATCAAGTCGTCCGTAGACCCAATCCACACCTCACCTCACCTCCCCCCCCCTCCCCACTCGCCAGCACCTGTACATACATATAAACAGGATCGCTGGCTGGATCTTACGCACGCTTTTCTCCATCTGTGGCTCAACGTTCCTCATTCAGTAGCATTATACTCACTACTTTCAACACTAGTACCATTCATGGGGTCATAGTAAAGAGCGGTGGTCGAGTGCGCAGATGAGGTATACATGGTGAACATATCGTGTATCCCAACACTGAAGAGTGAATGCTCGGCAAAGCCCTTCCGCCCGCCTACGCTGGCCAAAAGTAGAACGCCGGTGTCAACAGGAGATACAGTTGGTGTGATACGTTGATAGGTTTCGGCAATAAGTGATGACTGACAGGAAATGATGATGAGGGTCAATGAGATAAATGAATCATTTCTCTCAGTGGTGCTCGGGTACCGATTCAGAAACTTTCACTTGGTACCAGCCCACTGCGGTGAACGTACCGTCTATTAACGAGCCTACCCATATCATTCCCTAACCACTGCTCACTTCAGCTCACTTTTCCCAGTGCTTCGGTTGTTAGATTACGGAAAACCAATTTTCGCTTTGCCCTGCCCACTGGTCTGAGATTCCCCAATTTCATCCCTGTAACGACTGCAACTTTCTCCCTAATCTTTCCACGGTTTCCAAGCTCATATGGGAGGTAAATACAAACTAGTCCAGTCCCGTCCACCTCGGTGCACGTTCACCACCTCCTCTCATGTCTTTCGCCAGCCCTTCGCTAAGTTTAGTTTGCTTCTTCACGTCTCTGGATGCTCTGGAAGCTATCCACAGCTTACTCAAATAAATGAATAGCTTTCATTGAAAAATACATTGCATCGCCAACGTCACCGTGCTCAGCTCTCCCTAAGTGCTCTTTTTCGCACAAGTGTTCGTTTAATCTCCGACCTGTGTCGGAACCGATCTAAAACCTTTTGTAAGCCCAGTCATCTGGTGTACGCTTCTGCTGCGTCTCCTTCAGCGATTATTAGAAAGGGTTGCGGTGAAAACTAGACGTTATCAGCCGCCCTCGAGTGCTTCGTACTTAATTGAAAGTGATTATGGTTACGCATAAATGGTTGACGTCTTTGTATCATTTCACTTTCCGGAGGAAGGACTTGACAGAGGAAGTGCTTTGTGCAAAGTTCTACTCAGGGCGCACATGAGATTTGGGCTTTCATCCCACTGCCTTTTTCCAAAATTGAGGCTAGATTTCCATCGGGAGTTGTACTGGAGTAAAGCTGGCTAGAAAGACACCTCGTTCACTATTTTAATCTCGTAGACACAGTCGTCATCCTTGCACTTGATAGTCAATGTCAGTGCGGCTG